ACTAGAAATCAGTGGTTAAGTTGTATTTACAACACTGTTCAAGAACAGTTCAACCCAAATATTCAGATGTGTGCAGCACATTTTATGGAGGACTGTTTACTGATCATGGGAGAGTAACGTACAATGCCGGCTGTTCTGACTCACAGATTGTAAGTACGTTTTTTATATTTAAAGAGTTTTTATATTTTATATTTTTTATATTTAAAGCGAGTTTTTTGGGCAGTGTAGAGTAGGGCTTGTTGTTTGTCATTTCTCCGATCACAAATGCAGACATGGTTTTATGTTTACGCGGCGCGATGCAACGCAACACGTAAAAAGACAGTATAAGTCATTATAATCCATAATTATGTCCCCACTGGATGCAACGAATGCCTCGTTTATAATGGGTTTTCATGTTTTTGAATCATTGCTCTGGCTTGACAGGGCATCATCACAATATGGTAGGGGCGTAACATTTCCGTCACACGCTTGAGGTATTCGGCCAATCACAAGACACTGGATAGCTGGCCAATCACAGCACACCTTGCTTTTCAGACCGATGAGTTTTGTAAAAATCGACGTGTTTCAGAAAGGCGGGGCATAGAGGAGAAACAATAATGTACAGTATGTGGAAAATGATGTGTTTTTTGAACCTTAAACCACATAAACACATTTCATTACACCAAATACACAAAATAATGTTTTTTTAGCAACATCATATGACCCCTTTAAACAGCCTTTGAATGATTAGGTATACTAGTACTAGTAAGACTGACCCAGTCCCAAGAACCTCTAAACATAGAACGAATCTAGTAAAATCTAGTAAAATATTGTGTATCTTGCTCAAGATAATAAAACAATACAAGGTGAATTTCAGTTCACTTATTAGCTAATCATTTATATCAAGTGGTATTTGTGTATGGGCATGTTTTTCACCTATTTTGTATCCAGAAACATGGTAAAACGTACTACAAACCTACTTAACAGTATTCTGTAAAACAGATTTATGAAGCAAAGTAAAATAAATAGCACAACACACACCACTTGTTTGAAGAAATATGTCTCTTGGGCTTAATGTAAGTTCGACAGGGAGTGACAGGTAACCAAACAGCCCGTGTGATACTGCTTTGTGAAACAGGGCTGTAATGGTATTTCAACAAACACTTAAAGCTGAGATGAAAACTGAAAAGCAGATCAATTATTTAAAAGAAAACAGACAGCATGAATGTATACAAGGCCTTCGTTATAACCCTCTTTAACTCTTTTCTGATTTGTAGCCCCGCTGCTGAAGTCTGAATGATTGGGTGTCTGAATGCAGAGCACAAGAGGTGTTCAAAATTCTCCAGAGATGTCAATCATCACGCAGATGTCACCTTCCTGAACATCCTGTCAGTTTTCCGATTAGTCTGGCCAGGCAAGTGTTCTCAATTCTATTTCTGCCCGCCATGCACCCACAACATGAACCCTTTGTGGCAACACTCTTGTTACTGAGTTTGAATGTCTCAGCAGTAGCAACAATCAGCAGGGTGTGTTGCATCTGTAGTACGTGTGTTTGTACGAAAAGTATAAATAGTCCAAAGTCATATCTAATCCATGAATGTCACACAATCAATTAATCACTTTTTTTTCATGAAATGCACATTCTGTCTGGTGTAATGACTAATATATTTCTGTGGTTTTAAATTATTTGGAGGGTCGGTTAGCATCTACTTGTGAACCGACTGCACTGTGCCAACTGAAAACTGCAGTGGAAAGTTTTTAGAGATTGTGAAATGACCTGCGTCCACAGGAACTGGCCAAACTCGTTCTGTTCCGGATGTTGTGTACTCTCTCGCTCACGTTTAAGAGCTTGTTTGCAGTAGAGAGATTTAAATGGGTCATATTATGAGAAATCCTTCATTTCATTGAACTATAAAAACACTGTAACTTTCAAAGCTCACTAAGTCCCTTCCAGTCCCTACTGAAAAACAGATCATTTATTGAAATTTCTGATGCAAAAATGAATTTATATTATATACATACCATTAATTTAAAATTCACAGTGCAGATCTGGTGAAGGGAAGTTATTATGTAGTACGAAGGTAAAACCTGTTAATAATGAACATAAAACTGGTTTTATTTTTAAGTCCATGTGATCAATTCGGAAACTTATCCGTCTCCAAATCGGGGTGGGAAAAAAAGGTAGTCAAAAAATAATCTTCAGTATCAACTAGTATTATCCAAGTAGATTTGAGGAATGCTCGATTACATTAAATGTGAATAATTCACAAATTAAATTAGAAAATAAGCACACAAAAAAAAGTGAAAGTGTGTGAATACTGTAAAAAGGGGTGAAAATGAGTGGAAAGGTGTTTAGATGCATGAACAACTATTTTTGGGACATTCCCACTCATTTGTCTTTGCATGGCACTGTTAACTGATGCCTTCTGCTGGATCTGATGTGTCATTGCAGCTCTCAGAGGTCCATTCCATGTATCCAGTACTGGAGTTCTCCAGGAGCCTTCTCAGTTCATTGAAATCTGGCCTTTCGTGAGCTGAGTCTTTCCAACACATCAGCATTATGTCATAGATGTGCGATGGGCACTTAGGGGGCGAAGGCATTCTGTACCCCGAGGTGATCATATTGTACACCTCTTGATTTGAGAAAGCTGCAAAAATATACACAAAAAAGATGTACTTTAACCTTTCTCAAATCTGCATGAGAAAGAAGATACATAAATGATGTATATACCTGGATATGGGACTCCACCATAGGTGAACATTTCATATAGGAGGACCCCAAATGACCAAACATCAGATTTGTTGGAGAACCTTCCATGGCTGATGGCTTCAGGAGCACACCACTTATATGGAATTGTTTTATCTTCAGATGAGTAAAATGGGTCCTGTGAAACAAATGCCCCACATATTTTATTTTAATCAAACTTTTAAGAGTGAATATTTTACACACGTCTTTGATTAACTACAAGGTCATCCTCACCTTGACGATGCGAGCTAGGCCAAAGTCGGCCACTTTACAGATGTAGTTGGGTCCCACTAGAACATTCCGGGCTGCCAGGTCTCTGTGGATGCTGTTCTGCTCCTCAAGGTATGCCATCCCGTCAGCCACCTGACTTGCCATTTCTGTCAGTTCCTGCGGTTCCAGGTTCTGCCCCTCCTCACCTGTGAAGGGAAAACTGAAGGAATCATGTCTGTCTGCTTTAAGACTTTAGTTTTTGTACAGAAAAACAAGACTCATTCTAAGGAGAGGTATTGTATGTGTATATGTGAGTTGCAGTCATTTGTTTCTAATGCGATTCTAAGCAAAAAAAAAAAAATAGTTTTTTAATTTATTAAGGATATCATTATTAACGATCATTAAATTCCAATAATAAATGTCACGTCACAGATTATTATCCCTGTAGCTGCTAGTTCAAATGGAAATGCTGAGCGCAAGTAACCGATCATCTTTTCCTTTGTACAAAAAAAAAGAAAAACATGAACGAACATCAGAGAGGAAATGTTGAAATATACAGTAAAACGTACTAAAAAATCTCTCATGCAGTCGCTCAATTAATCTGTTTTTATAATTACCGAAATATATCTATGAAACAGCTTGAAAAGATGTCACGTAAAGCTACATTTATCTTAGGAAAGTCATTCATATCCTTAGCTCATTACCAATACATAGCTAGAAAAAATAACTTTGAAGAAGAGCATATCGCCAACATTTTAAATATACTGTTAAATGTGCACTAATATATTTTAAAAGCATTACATTTTTTACCTAACTTATTAATTTCTCAATAAGATTATTTTTTATGTATGTTTGAATAAATCTCATAATTCTGAAAATTGTTTGGCATCTTTAGAGGCCCTTATCTCAGAAACAAGTTTTTGTGATATATGATATTTAAATGATTATATCTCAACAACTGTTTGGAGTAGAAACAATGATACATTAGAAAACAAAGACTTACTGGCTGTTCACAACAAGGATGATTTAAATTATATGAGAATAGGGAAGTCCAGCTAACAGCTATAACAATAACAACTATAAAACGATATAGTTGGAAGCACTTTCAAAATGTTTTTTTTTTTTTCAGCTGATGAAGCTGATGAATATGATAATAAACACTAACAGCCAGTCAGAATCTATTAAACTTTACAGAGCAGGTCACGGAATAGCAGTGCGCACTTACAGTAAACAGAGCATTATCATGCATTGGTGTGGACACTAATATAGTTATAATTATGGTTATCGTTATAGTTATTGTTTTTGGTGTGACTGGGCCTTTAGATTTTACTTTCTCATTCAGTGCATAAAACTCAAAAAGTGTTTGTGGTCAAAACAGCTCAAAATGATGCACTAGGTCACATATAATTACCCTTATTGACATATTACAGTAAACATTTAAAGCTGATGTAAAAAAACATTGATATTTACTGGGCTGACGTCAGATAATAAAGAGGTTGTGACCTCGGAGGAAACTGAGCAGGTTGCCTTTTTCCATAAGCTCAGTGATGATGTAGAAGGGGGTGGAGCTTGTGCAGACGGCAAAGAGTGTGATAAGATGTCTGTGTCTCAGCTTTTTCAGTATTTGAGTCTCCATCAGGAACTCCCTGTGATCGAGAGACTCTAGAGGAAGAGTAGGAAACACAATAGAGCACATCAGATAAGCATCAGTACAGTGTGCTGGAGCACTAGAATATATATTAATACATCTGTCAAAATACAAAAATGTACTCGTTCAGGGGAATTTTTCACTAATAGGCTGCCAGACGAAGCCTTAACAGGGTTTTAAATATATTCTTCAAGAGTTCTCAGTGTGCTACATGCTCTATTGGATATCGGTTATGAGGGCAGTAGACTGTGTTCTCATTCCTCCAGCTCTCACAGTCACAGAACAAGAAACACAACATTTCTCACATTCACACAGTATCAGGAACAGAAAACAAGTAGGCAAAGAGAAAGTAGCCCATTCTATTTAAAATATCCATCAGACTCATTCCTTCATTTAGCCTTCAGATGATTCTTTCCTATTTACATGCACCAACCCTACCGTTGTTTTTGAGGATCTTGATGGCCACATTGACCATGCCTTTCCATTTTCCACGGTAAACATCAGCAAAGTATCCTTTACCAAGCTCCTCTTCCAGAGTGAACTCCTCCTTAGGTAACTCCCAGTCATCTACTGTTTGGTGGGAAAGATCCTGTGGTTTTGGTTCTGGCTGTTAGTATAAGAAGAAACAGAGAGAAACTCTGTAAGGGAAGTATGCAGTAATACAGACAAATGCATTTTGTTACATATACATATTGTACATTCAGTTGTGGTAATAATTCAGTTTGCTGATATACGGGAATCTCTCTTTCTATATATAATATATAGGCAGAATATGTAGGGGTTGGACAAAATAATTTGACCATGTAGGTCTTAAAACAGCATCCAACCTTCTTAGAATAGATTCATACAACTTTTGAATAGTCTTCAGTTGTATGAATCTATAAAAATATCTGCCAGTTTATAAATAAGACAATCTCAGTTTTTTTCCCCACTGTAGTCTACACAAATTAGATTAACCCCATAATAATGGGTGTTCACATTATTTTGTCCAACCCCTGTATTGTGTGAAATATCGGGCCTGTGAGGAAATTCAACATGACTAGTTATTTAATCTTAAATTAACTGACAAAAGCTCTTCTATTTCAAAAGACAATTAGCATCAGATTAGTATGTTAATTGGCTGAGATCCCGTCTTTCTTATGACTGTCTTTTTATAGTTCACCCAAAACTGTTCGCCCATATAGTTAACTCAAAACCGATTTTACACACCCTCATGTCAAATCAAATCTGGAAACAGAAGCTTTCAAGCTTCAAAATGGATGTAAAAGCATCATAGTGTGAAGGAATCATTGAATCAGATGATTAATTGATTAGAATGAACTGCTCTTATGAACTTGCCAAAGACAGGATGGCCGTGAATGTCAAGAATGTAGGGGATAAACTATGTAGGCTATTTGATGACTTTAGACTTGAAATATTGTACGGAGATCATGTGGCTCACTTTTATTATACGTTTTGGTCATTTTGAAGCTTGACAGTGAAGGAGTGGAATCCTGGAGCCAACGCGACCTTCATAAAATATATATTATAAAATGGATAGTTCCGGTCCTTGATTCTGATTGGCTGAGCCACGTTCGAAGCTGTTATAGATTACTCTACAAACATACACCTTTGTTTACGTTTGTCTGTTGCTTGGCAACCACTTTGTTGCAACCAGAGCCGTTGAGAACCAGGGTTGCGACACTCCCATAAGCTGTGTCTCATTTAGAAGGCTGCGCCCTCTGGAGGTCGCATTCGAAGGCTGCATATGTCATCATCTCATTTCAGAAAAGCAAGTAGGACACTCCGAATGCGACCATCGAATGCGACCTTCTTTCACAGGAATTCGGAGGATGCATGAGGTGCATCCTTCGCTGCTACAGATAACCCACAATTCTTTGCGTCGCCGTAAACAACCGTTGTTAATTTGAAAAATGCCGGCGCCGGCAGATGTACACACAAGCGCAAATGTGGTGTTTACAACTTACCTTAAATCGCTTCGGTAAAAACGGATAAACTTTGTTTTTAATATCCTCCTCCTTTTTTTTCTCTAACATATGTCTGCTGTACGTATGCTGCAGCTCCTCAAACATTGAACAAAATAAAACGAGTAAAAGCATTTTTTTTTTTTAATTACTTTCCAAATTTAGAAATTATTTTCCTTCATTTAAGTAGTGTGAGAGCGCAGCGATGCTCTAAATGTGTTGGCATAGCAATTCATTTCAGTGCTTCTCAAGCACACTCGCCAGAGAGTTGAGGAAATTACAGCAGTTTTTGGCATTTTAACATATTAGTTTACCTCTTGGAAATCTGGCCAGTAGTTGTATTTTATGAAACGCGTTATAGTTAATGTTTAATTTGAGGTAATAGGCAGTTATGCTATATTTGCAGTTAGATAACATGAGAAACACCTTAATAGCGATCATAACCAGATGCTAGTTGTCATATTTTTACGTTTTTAGTCTTTATGCAATCTTTCTCTCCCTGTAGGAAGTTTAATGAGTTTC